CCCATTACCCTCGACAACTGCGCTATGGAGTCTTCGTATTTTCTCCTGCCCTTATACTTCCTACCAACGGCAGAACATGTGAATCATGTCGTGATGGTATTGGCCAAATATATTTTACGACCGGCAAAATGACGTGATCCCTACTTGGGAACAAACCCCAGATCCGGAACATATTTTTTTTCATATTTTTTTTAAAACGTAGCCCTTACTTTAGGATAACATTATCCTGTGTTGTAAGGACGGTTTACAAACATAAATTTCACGAGGACAAACACCCTGATGCGAAACAACTATCTGTGGGTCACACAAATACTTGTCCCGTGTGGGAATCGAACCCAAAACACCGGCCGATAGCGTAGCAACCGCGCCAGTTGCTTGAGATCACGGTTGGCCTAGTGGACAGTGTACCTGCCTCTTGCGTTAGAGGGTGTGTGTGTGTGTGTGTCCCCACCGATACAATATTGTGTGCTGGACATAGTGTTTTTCTTGTGTCTTAGAGAACTGAGACACAAGAAAAACACAAATATATTTCACAAATATATTTCAACACTGCTATATTCATTTAAATGAACCTAGATAGATTTAATTTGTCATCACCAATAAACGTGTATTTAATTATTGACCTCGGTACTTAAACACATTGAAGGTTTATTAGTTACCTAGTTTATTGAGTTTTGCAAGTTAACGAATTTAAATTTGAGTAAAGGTTTGAGTAATCATAAAAACGAGTGAAATTGTGCAAGGGGCAAATTTCTCATAATTTGACATACCAGTGCTGCCATCTCTTACCAAACAGCAATATTAGGTGTAAAACGCACGTATTCACTTTATTTCATTATTTTATTTATTCTACATAGCTATTGAAGAAAATTGTTTCACCATAAATAATGGATCCACCAAAAATAATAGATGCTTAGTGATTCCTCCACAACAAAAAAAGTAAAAGAGAATAACTATACATAAATAAATAAATATAGTTATATACTAAAAATAGTAAAAATATAAATCATATTCGTTATTGTTAGGTACACAAATGAATTAATCACTAAGTATGACATGTTTTTATTTTTTTATTAGTTTAAAATTAACACCGAAGTAGTGCATTCATTAAAACGCCATCTACCGGTAGCAGCTCTTGTGGATGTAACATATAAAATGTAATCGTTTAAAATAACCGACAACGAAACTCAGTATGAAATAAATAAAATTCGCCTCAGTCACCAGCCACGTATGCAATAACAATGAAATCGATTATTATATTTGATCGATATAATCAAATCGCTTTCCAAAACTGTACTTTTTTATATCCAGGTAAAACGAAAAGAAACATCCTATATATGTATGTCCCACTGCTGGGCAAAGGCCTCTTATGTACAGAGAGTATTGGGCCATAGTCCACTACGCAGCCACACATAAATGTACCTTCTTTTCTCCGAATATCAGTGATTGTTCAACCGACTACAACAAAGAAGAGTTCTCAATCATATTCGCTTTTTTATATCTGTCATTTTATAACTACGTCATTGTAAACCTATTTGGAAAATAATTTTTTTGTTGCAAAGAAGAGGTTCCCGTTTTAATTTCATAGGGTTTGGACCTTGGAATTTTAAAGATTTACCATTGTACTCGGAATTGGAATAAGAAATATATGGTGAGTGAGATATTTGAAGTCGGAAATGTTTTTATTAGTAAAAATTTAATTTATACAAAACTTCAGACAAAAAGTCAGATTTTTTGTTTAGTTTTTTTTTTGTCGTGTAAACGATGACCATTAAGAATGAAACGATTAGTAATTGATTTTCGATTTAGTTCTATGTTTATTTTATTTGAATAAAACTAAGCGTCGAGTATGTGTCTACACTTTTACTTTTAGTGTGCCCGAAGTATTAAATAAGTAGTTATTTTTAGTAATATTTTTAGTAGTAATTTTTTAAAAATAATAAATTGTGTTAGGTGCATTGATGTACAGATATTGACAAAAAATATGAGGTGTTTGGAAGGAAAACATATAATTACGCTTCAAAATCGAAAGATTTAAACGTTCTATCTAAAGTTCTATTAAATGTTAAATAATCTAGATTTTAGACTTGGTTAGGGCATCCCCTCACACAAAAGTGCTCATTATTCTTTGTGTTACTGAGAATGAAAGAAGCTTAGCGAAACGTTAATACAGGGTGGCTTTTCTAAGTGTATCCATTTTTTTTTATTAAATGCTAGACATAAATAATGTTATATAAAAAATGATAAATATTTAAAATCACTCTTAAGTAATTTATTACATTAATCTGAACTTATCTCAAAAAGTGCGTGATTTATACGCAACTCATTTATTTTACGCGCGTTCATTCATAACTAAAATGCACACAAGTTCGTGCACAGTAAAATTTAGATATTTATGAATGACTCGGTAGTGTATGAATTCATGATTAACAATGCGGTCATTGTCAACACGTTCTGTTTTTTAGGGAATAGAATGGCATTTTTCTAAAAAAAAAAAACTTTGTTTCAACAAACTATTATACTACAGAGTCTGAACCTCCTGTGTAAATTTGGCCACCTCTCAAAAAATCTCCCTGTATAACTGTTCAAAGACTTTAAACCTAACATAGTAGCCATTAGGGCTCAAAGTCTTGAAGCGTTAAGTTTGTCGTTTGACTCTTTATTCATTCTCAAGAAACGTTACAAAATAAGTTAGCGTTCCCAAAACAAAAATTAAAACTTAGTAATAATCGCGCCTCTTCAATTCAAGAAAACACCGACTTACTAATAAATAAGCAAATTCTAGTAGAATAAAGATTGAATTGAAAAAGATGACATTTTTGATTAACTTTATTTTACTTATTACCCAGTTTTCGTCAACAGCTGAAAACATTAGTTTTAAAACATTAGTGTTTGAATCATTAAGTTTGATGAAGAATTATGGAAATTATTCAGCCGTATTATTGATATCTATATAAATATGTATTTATATATATATATATATATATATATATATATATATTTATTATGATATCCAATCAATAATACCGCTGAAAATTTGAATTTGATTTGGTAAGAGCAAATTCGGTTCATCTTGATTATATTTGCCAGACTGTTCCCAAGGTCGGCCCACCTGTGGGAAAGACATCGGAACGAGCCCACAGCCACTCCAATATAAACGATGAAAATCCCTTTGTCCCCCGTAATTAGGACGTGTTGAGTGAAGCCTACAACTAGAAGCTCCGGTGACGACGGCCACGGTTCAAATTATAAGCGGTCAGCGGAAAAGGTTGCGTAGAGCAATTGGTACTATATTCTTCAGGCTTATGTTTATGGGCCAGATCAGCATAGTTACGTGTCGAGAAGAGTTCCGGTTGAGTGCGATACAGTTGTTCGCGGCTCTCGCGGGGAAGTCCCAGGGCCTAAAAGAAGACAGTTTAACAATAGTGTTTGCGCTTTTTCAATACGTGACTCGATGACGTAATAACTAAACTATTGGCTTCGCCATCGGAGGTTGCGGGTACGATTCCCACACGGGACAAGTATTTGTGTGAGCCAGAGTTAATTGATCCGGATCTAGGGATGTATCCACGTGGAATGTTGCGAATGCAAAGCCTCCTTGCAATACAAGCAGTTGTTGTTTTACAGAAGGGCAATATTTTGTTGACGTGTTTTTTTTTTTATGTGAAAAGTTGCCAAATGAGCAGACACCTGACGTTAAGTGAATACCGCCGCCCATGGACATCTGTTACACCCGAGGGTTCCAGATGCTCGACAACCTTTTGAAAATTTGACTCCGGCCACCTCACTTATCAGAAGAAACGCGAAAGTATTTGTCATACTTCCACTTCACGCACGTCTTCTGTGAGGTCGTGGTACTTTCCCGGACGGGCCTGCCCATTTCAGCCTGCTCTAGTCCACTGATGAACGTCCCCCCACCACAGACTGCCAAAAAGCACGCTTCTGAGCCACCGTCATCCATCGTCTTTCACCCTTGTAAAAAGTGTTAGAAGGTTCATACAAAACCAACAAACATTTTTATCTATTTCTTACAAGAAAATACTTTTAGCTAACTTTCATTTTTTTGTTTGACATTCACTGTCTAATTATGTTAAAGATATATAAACGTAATACATTTATGTATTGGATGTTATACACACATACAGAGGTATAAAATGCTTGGTAAATGTAATTTTTAAATGATATTATTTTTATAGTGCTATTCTCTGCACTTAAGATGAAAATTTCCGAAAAGTTTTTTCCGGGTATCGTAACAAAACGCAAATGATACAATACAAATAAATTAGACACGACGTAGATATTTTCGCTCTATGAGCAAATCTATCGCTTAGCTTAGTGGTTAAACCGTACATTTAAATTTTTGCAATGTTGTTTTATATCTGTACAATTCAATACAGCATAATGAGGGTCTGTTGGTGATAGGTCAGATAATTCGCTTGCTGCGCCCGCTACCGCACGTCGCTTGCGTCCCACGTCGTTCAACTCGCGAGCCCCCTATATTTGGGTGCCTATCGCCCTCGTATTTTGGCTCTCCAATTAGTACAGCCACAGTAATTGTACCGTAAAGCGGACTTAATGAATTCATCTACTTTAGCCGTTGTTTGATGTAATAATACATTTGTTTTAACTAGTAGCGCACCGCGGGTGCGACCGCGTTAACATAAGACGATGAGAATATTAATTTTACACACCCCCTTGCTGCTCAACCTATGGATATATGGTGTTCTTTGTGTACGGCGGAGCAATCCTGAAACGTTTGTTACGCGAGTAAACAATAGTTTGGTGCGTTCAGTGGGTTTCCATTAAAAAATTGAGCTTTAAGTCGATCACTACTTACAGAGTCTATTGAAAAAAAAAAACTATATATACGTAAAGCATATATAACCTCTTTGTTTTTTGACAATTAGCTGTCGAAACTGAATAGCTCTTGCTTGCAACATGACAATGGATAACGTTTCAATTTTAATTTTAAATTGAGCCAAAGATACGCTTAATAAACGATGACCTCTTACAGAACAGAAAACTTGCATATAGCAGAGCTCAACCAGCTACTGTTAGACTCTGGTCTAACCTGTGAGCGATCGACATTGGAGTCGGAGGAATCGTCAGAAGAATCCGAGGAAACTGAGAAAAAAGGTGAATTCTTGAATATGTAACCGAGACGTAATATTGTACATTTCTCTAACCTTCTACCGTGGTGGTTTTGAAACACTTTATTTTCGATTCTATAATTATCTTAAGACATTGTTTTTAAATTGACTGTTTGACAACGAACAAAAAATTAATACCCCTAAATTGCTTTAATTTTTCTTGTATTACTGCAATTATTTCATATCCTTTGCAAAAAAATAAATCTTCAGTATATCATAAGGAATTCTGGACCAATATAAAGGGTCAAGACCATATCCAAAACAACCGCAAATACAAATACTCGTACGGTATAAGTTTTGTACCTAAACCAATTGTAGGGTAAGGAACCCTTACTTACCTCCAGCAGTAATAGAAAGTCTCAATACCGATCGTAACTTTTAACAAAAAATTCGCAATTGTAGGGTAAGGGACCCTTACTTAAATCCAGCAGTAACAGAAAGTCTCAATACCGATCATAAATGTTAACAAAAAATCCGTACGCCATACGCAGTGCAAATCACAGAGGTCGAGAGCGATGTGACAGAGACCTTAGCGGAAGAACGGACAGCATTCCTCGCGGAAGAGATAGAAGAGGAGTCGCCTAAGGTATTCCCCACATCGTCTTTGCGGAGAGTGCTGCCCGATAAAATAAGAAGCATCGAGAAGCAGAACAGAATACACGTCCTACCCGATGAGTTCAACCGGGACGTAGATCCGTTGAAGGTACCGAAAATAGCCAACACTCCCGCTCAGGTTTACATAAGCGAATTGGCCGAACTGACCGGCTGTAAAGATTACAAAAGCAGCTTGGCGGAGTACTGGTTCCTCGACACCCTGGCCAATTTGCTGAGCCGGGCGCAGAAAGATCGACTGGATAAGGGTAGATAAATCACATATTTTCCACATTCATTACCGCTTCTACCGCTTCCACTATTTCGGCGTTTGTTGTCCAGATTTCCAGTATGAATATGTGAGATGATAAAAGATTGTCCAAACAGAATTTTATAATCTCTCTATCTATTATTTGCCGATACTTTGAAGTAACACTAGAAGTTTTTAAAATTTTTTGACAAAAAATAAAACCGACTTCCAATATCGTACTCATCACACATTTTCTATGTTATCCCTATACAGATACAACCGAATTCAGAACCCCCTCCTTTTTTGAAGTCGGTTAAAAAGTAGAGAAAAGTATTAACTTTTGCATTCTAGCTAAATAGTACGTTAGAAGAAACAAACAACAAGTAGAAATAATTTAAAAAACTAAAAAACCCGACTGCGTTTCCAAAATCCATCAAGCCGTTCAGGCTGCAGAGCGTACCAAACAATTGTACATATATACTCTCGAAAAACATAACCCTCTTTCTGGCGCAGTCGGGTTAAAACAAAGTAAATTTTATTAACACATTTTGAGTTCCATCCCCAGTGCAGAGACCAGCATTAAAATTAAAAATTGAAATGTACCAAAAAATCTTATACTGTAGAAAACTGGGTAAATTAATTGAATTTATCAGACATAGACTTTAACTAACTCGAAATATACAATAGCATTAGAAATTAATAATTAGAAGTAGAAAGATTTGCTCATGTTTTTTTTTACAGTAACACAGGTGCTTTTGATAAGATGGTTCTGCGAATGGATGAAAGAAATGCAGCATTTTGACGCAGCGGATCGGCGGAGAATGCTGGAAAGGTTTAAGGTAAATCAACAATGCAATTGAGGGACCTGAAACTAAAAACTGTCAAGAACACAAGACCTCAATTAAAATTTGTAGAAAAAGTACGAAAAGATTGTCGCCGCTGTGGGAATTGAACCCCCGTCTTCGGCGTTCGCGGCCTGACGCTTTAGCCACTAAGCTGAACGGCTGATTGCCACACCCAAAATTTACAAGACCACAAGTCGAAACCCTAAAATCCCTTTTAGGGTAGGCCGCAAATAAGGTATTACAGCAAACGTAGGTAAAGTGAAAATTCCAAAAAGGAATTTCTGAAAATAAAGGTAAATTTTGATACTTAAAAGTTTTCGCGAAAATCTAAATTTACCGATGTCTTTTTATCGTGTTGACTCAGGACCTTGACTCTTGATTTTATACACCTCATAGAAACTATAGACCTCAATATCTGGTATAAATTTCAATTTAGTAGATCCAACCGTTCCTGTTCAGTGGTGACGGACAGACTGACAAGAGAGTGATCTTATAATGGTTCCCGTTTTTTACCTTTTGAGAACCTAAAAATGTCTTTTATTTAATCCCTAAGAAACAACTGAAAAAGATGCATTATGCAACAACGGTATTGTCAAAACAACATGTGCTTATTTGATAGTATACAGCGTGTCTTTACAATCGCGACAATAAATGAACACACATATAGGGGATAACTTTTTAAAGTTGTATTAAACATTTACATTCTTTAAACATCAATATTTACAGAGTTATTACATTTTTCAAAACTAAGAATTTTAGAACAACCGTATGTAAAAAGCGTAACGTAAAGTTCATTTGTAAAGGTCACAAAGTATATGAATGGGTTGAATTAATTTAAAAGAGACAAAACATACTGTTAGAAGGAAGGCTTGTATGCGACGCTGTTCGCGAGTTGCGTAGGATGTTACAAATTTTGTTTCTTTTTTACTTAAACTTTGAATTTTTTTTTAATTATGGATTTTGTTTAACGTTAATATTTTTTATGATTATTCGCAAGTAGCGTTAGACGTGTGTTCATTTATTGTCGCGATGGTAACGACACGCTGTATATCTACGGAAAATTTTACTTACAATGAAACTGCAAACTCTAATCACTTTTAGGCTTTTCTTTTTTTTTTTATGCGAAAAGTTGTCAAACGAGCAGACGGTTCACCTGATGTTAAGTGAATACCGCCGCCCATGGACATCTGCCACAACACCCCGCATCTGTAACCCTCGGGGTTACAGATGCGTTGACAACCATTTGAAAAATTGGGCTCCGGCTACCTCACTCACCAGATGAAACGCGAAAGTAATTCTCATACTTCCACTTTACGCTGGTCTTCTGTGAGGTCGTGGTACTTACCCGGACGAGCCTGCCCATTCGTGCAACAGCCGAGGCTGCTGTGTGGCCCTACTAAATGCGTCTAAAATTATAGGACAACATGACCGCAGCAGCTGGCCACGTGGTTAAAGAAGGCAAACTCCCCACACCCTCAGAGATCGGAGTGTCCCACTTGGCAGAGGTGGAGGTGGGGGTCAGCCTTTCGCCAAAGGTCCCAACTGACCCAAAGCATCTCGTCTCCTTCGAGGGAACTAATTTCCAGTGCACACTCTTCGATCTGACGAAGATTATTCACTATATTTACGACCTGTATGTATTCACCAATCTACGTCAAAAATATCTACGTCAAATTCATATATATAATTATATTCGTCTATTCTTCTTTCTCCTGAACTCATATCAGCTAGGTAGGTTCGGAAACGCGTGAATCAAGAGTAAGTTGATTTACGACTGGCCCGGTGCCTGACTAATCTTTAAATTTACATTCATGCGAATGTTATAGGTAAGGTGTTGTAAATTGACAGTTTGTGTGTACTAATCTGCAAAACTCCTAGGCCAATTGTTATAACTTTTCACAATGGTGAATGTTTCAAAGGGACGTATTGAAATTTCAAACAAATTGAAACCTTGAAAAACGTATACTCTATAAAAGATCGTTATATAGTACAAATTAGGTGTTGCTCGACGGCGCTGCTTCGGTATGTCTGACTTGAAAAGTACAAGATGGATGACACTCGAACAAATTGTTAATTAACTACCGTCATATAAATTTTTATTTGGGAAGTAGTTTTTTGCAGCCCTGACGTTATTTAATAGTAAAATTAAATTGATGTTTTGCCTTGTTTATTTCTTAGGCGCGAACAGTGACGCTAATATTTATGAGTATCTTGCATGAGACAGATTTGAGAGAGTATTCCAAATTATTTTAATATACCCAAGAGGTTCAAGTTGAAGGAAAACCTGACGTTAAATGCTAGCGGCAAGCTATCAACTAAGTAAATGACCCATAGAAGAATAGCACGACGAATTTATATGTAACTTTAAGAGTTTTATTTTTTTTTAACGTGAAAAGGTGGCATGCAAGTAGGCGGTTCACGTGATGGTATGTGATAACAGCCGTCCATGGCGAAACGCAGAAGTATGACAATTCCAGTTCACGCCGATCTTCTGTAGGGGTCCTTCTGTGTACTGGTGGTGCTTACCTGGACTGACCTGACAATTCGCGCAACAGCCGAAGCCGTTGGCCCATTAAAAGAAATAACATCGCCACCTGTTCGCAGCAGGATTTGATGGACGCCACTAACTGTGCAGTCGAAGTGGCCAAGTTCTGGGCCGGAAAAATCTAATTTTTCATCGACACGCAAAGAAGAAGAAGAAGAAATAACATGAAGCGAATAAAACTAGCCTCTCCAGTCCAGGAAGAAGTGGAAGGTGATACCTAGTGCTGGATCGCTGCGTTTTCAGTTTCAGCACGGAGTTTCAGTACGACCTGATCAGGTCCGTGTTTACCTTCGCGCCGGAGTACCAGTTGATCGACGTGCCGCACCAGGTCAGGCAACCGAAGCGTATGTACGCGCCTCTCAAGGCACGAGCGAAGGACAGAGCGATCAAGAAGGAGCCGAAAGCGGTCAAGGGGAAGAGAAAGGAGGCGGAGACGGAGGAGTATTTGCACTTGCTCCGGGTAAGCGACTGCTGGGCGATATTGTTGCGAGGGTGATGCGAGAAAAGGCATGTTTAATAAAGGGAAGAAAAGGTTACGCTTTCCACCAACTGAGTAGGGGCTTCACCTGATGTTAAGGGAATAGCTGCGCCCTTGGATATCTACATGTTGCATGTGCATCCCATCAAGTGTTTATGTACGTAGGACCTTTTCACTCACGGTTGACAGCGTATATACGGTATATACGTTGCCAACCACCCAAAAAAGTAGGCCCCAGTAGCCTCACTTACCAGACGAAACATGAAAGTGTAATACTTCCACCTTTTTAATATCAAAAGGTAGCAGCGACTATATCCTCTCCACATCACTTTACATTATGTGATGACCGTCGACTATGGACGTTACCAAACTAGAATAAAGTAGGCCACGGTAACCGCACTCACCAGACGAAACGCGAAAGTATAATTCCTCGGTATAACCTGCCCATACGTGCAACATTACAAGCTGCTGCGTGGCCCTACCACAGTTATATTCCGCATTCTTGTAGAGTGGTTTCTGCCAACTCCTCCGCTCACCAATACGCAGCAAATGCTTTAATCATAATAACACTAGGTACTGTGGTAGGGCCAAGCAGCGGCGTTCTCTGATGCACGAATGGGTAGGTCCATCCGGGTAAGTGCCACGACCTCACAGAAGACCAGCGTGAAGTGAGCGAGGTGCCAGGGCCCACTTTTTTCAAAGGTGACAACGTATTTGCAAACCTAAGGGTGTTGCAAATGTCCACGGGCGGCCATTATCGCTTAGCATCAGGTGAACTGTCAGTTCACTGAAAAGAAAATAATCGTAACAATATGAAGGCTGTCGTTAAACCGTAGGTGCAAAGCGAGCTTGAGCGAGAGATAGAAGAGGAGGCCGACAGAGATAGAGAGGATTGGAACCGGCGCAGTCACCTCTTGCCCCTGGCGTTTGCTGTCAGCGAAGAGTTCATCGAAAGGTACTGGCCACCGCCACCGGTTGAGGTGGTACCAGAACCAGAGCCAGACGCCAGAGGGAAGGGGAAGAGTAAGAAGAAATGATGTCCCACGTTGAATATGACAAATCATTTGTTCGAAACAATGTTTTTGTATAAATTTTGGCAGTTAGAGCCAAGATGACAATTCGAGATTTTTATTACATTTAATTAACACACAAAATAAATAAATTCCCGACTATCACTATAAATCTATGTTGTTATTTTAGCAACAGAGTATTTTTTATATCCGAATCAGCTAGTCATCGACAACGAAACAATGAAGTATTTAAATTTTTAAGCTTCAAATAATTGGCACTTTGACGTACAAGTACATTAAAATGATGTCTTTTATTAAAACTACTATGTATTGCGAATTTGTGGCATTTTTCTGTCAAGAATACCAACAATTAATCCTTATTGGATTCCACAAGTCTTCTATTGCGTTTCAGTATTAAACGCTTGTCGAATCCAATACATTAAAATTTCAAATAATTTTCGGATAAGACCATTTACTGACCTTTAAAAGTATATATTGTTTTAAAGTCCTAAACTTCACGGTGACTTTTCGATATTTATAAAAATACAAGAAGCATATCATTCAGAAAGAACTATGATAGTGTTAAGTAGCGTAAAAATACGTTAAATTAAATGTCGCAGTCAAAACTAGAGAAAAGGGATGTTTATAAGTAAAAATTCTTATAGGGTCAAAATTCACAATACTCAAGATACCAAGATCAAATATCCCAATATAATTGCCTGTTATAAAATTATTTTCAAAATACGTCAGGGCGATTGGCCCGGATCAAGAAGCGGATCATTCCAGATCTCTAGCTGAACCAGAAATAAAGATTATATATATCTGAAAATTCTTCAGGCTGTATTTTGCGCCCTCTGTCGAAGAGCATACATAATTATTCGCTTTGCTGTAGCGAGCTATTATTGTTAACTGAAGAAATGTCGAGATACTTCTCGACAGCTTTGATTGAAATAGTCCATTTTCGGTACATGAAGCGTTATACTAATCAGTTATCATATCTAGACTGTATGGTTTATTTCATTAATTAATTAACTTAAAAGCTAATGCATACCCAACAGCACTTAATAATAGTTTTATTTATTCTAGTGTTCGCCCAGTGGTCGAAATTCGACACTAGGTATACCCTAAGTATTTATATGTACATGATAGTGATTTTTTATTGATTTAGTGAATTTTTATGCTTTATTAAAAATAGTATTTTGTACTCCTCTATATAAACTATAAGTGTGGTCAATTTCATACTCCACCGTTTGCGAAATTTTCGTTAAAAGTTACAAAGTTTTTACTACACATATTAATAAATAGATAGGCAATGCCTGATATGGCGTCCTCTAACGAGTACCTATCTAAGAATATCAAAATAAGCAACTGCTGTCATATTATATAATTACGAATCGCTATGCAGTCAAAAGATGGCGCTATTGTTCAGAGACTTCCAAAAGTATACCACTAATAATCATTTCGCTATACAATTAAGAGATGGCGCTATAATTTAATTAATAAAATAAACCATATAGTATCTTCTCTTCTTTCTCTGAGTATTAAGTTAACGATTGCTTTAATATTGTTATGATTATCTAGTGTTATCCTAATTAAATCATTTGCGGCGATAAGGCGGAGGAGTTGGCAGAAACCACGGCTCTATTCCGTGGCAGACAACACACTAGAATAACGCGTAACGACCGGTGTGCATCTATGGTGACGCGGGACGGCACAAAACTATCCGTATAGAAATACAAGGAGGCTTTTCTAAATATTTCCATTTCTTTTATTAAATTCTAGACAAATAATGTTATATAAATATTTTTAAAAAATTATAAGTATTTAAAATCACTCGTAATTAATTAAATACGTTCATTTGTACTTATCTCAAAAAGTGCGTGATTTACGAGCAACAAGTTCGTTTCAAAATTATACGACGCATTTATGAATGACTACCGCATTGTCCACAAGTTTTGTTTTTTAGGGAAAGAAATGGCAATTTTTTTGAAAAAAAAAAAGGTTGTTTTTATTACATTACATACAATAAACGATTATACTGTACTATCGAGTCTGTACCTTCTGTGTGAACTGAGATTGAAAAGCATAACAAAGATTCAATGTGGCAGAGCAGAACCACGGCACAGCACCAGAGCAGAGCAAGGGGCCACGAAGGGGCTTCTGCTATTGCACGTCGTCATAACATTATATTTTACATACTGTTCACTGACAACACTCTCTCTTCGTCTCTTCGCTTGAAATTATACGTGTTTATGGGCGCAAATTTATATATAATGATTATATTGTGACAAAGCATTAATTATATTTACGATTGACGTTTAAATAACTATTTGTGATCACAAGTTTTGAGTAATAAGTAACATGTGATTATATTTAAGTCTTGTTTGTAGCGCCACCTGTTGACGAACTTTGTAAAGTGGTGTTTGTTTATTAAAATAAATTAGTAACTTGTGTAAAATAAATAATTTTGAGTTATGTGAAATTCATTGTAATGTTAATATTGATTTTTGGCCTATATTTCATAATCAATTGTACAGTAATCCCAATTAATGTTGTAAAGTAAGTTGAAGTTGTTAAATGTTGAGTTTAATGACAGTTGGTTTATATAAAAGGGATTGCAGCTCACATTCAGGCTAGTTCTGTGCTGGAAATCGTTTAAAAATGAACCAAGTGATATTACTTTATTATAATGGAGTCTCGACACGATATTTTCGGTCTATCCCCGACATGTTGTTAAATAAGTGTTTGTGCAATCGGGCAGCTCCGTCGGAGGTTATACTTTCGCGTTTCGTCTGCTGACTGAGGTGACGAAGGTCCAGTCTATTCTAGTCTAAACAATTTAAGAGGAGCGAGTCTCGCCCTTGACACTCGAATCAGAGTATCGCTTAAATGCTACTGGTTTTTAACATAATGTAAATAACCACAGGAGAGAATCGCAAGGCGAGTTCTCATTATAGCAATAAAAAAAATATATTGAAAAAAAAACGTCAAAAAAGAGATTACACACAGAAGTCGGAACTCAACAACTTGAGATACAATATCTAATGTTAATATTTATATAATCAAAAATATACGGTTATATTACTCAAGAAGTTCCAGCACTTCATCACTTTTGAATTTTGATTCACAAAAAAGAGAACATCAATTTGGTGGGTACGTAAAACATATAAAGCAGAAATAAAAGTGCAAACAGATAGTAAAGGATGTCATGGTATATATTCAGGTGTGTTAATATTGCCGCACAACTTTTACAATCTATTGTCAGGAGATTAAAAATTATTAATTACGTAACTAATCAAATTAATAATGTAGTTTATTATAATAATTAGAAACAAGAAACTTTATAATGATCCATACAACTTAGAGAGCTTAAGTTAATAAAGGATTTCTATTTCAACATTTATTCAGCTGTACACCGGTTTCGCCTAACTCAATCTTTATTCTTTCTTCTTTATCTTTTTTTTTTCGTCTTCATTTTTTCTGTTATGCTTTCTGCGCTCGGCGACCAGTCGACTCCTTATGTTTTTCACGAGGTCGGATTCATTGTACGGCCAGTCGTGCTGTATGGCGTGGCATTTGACGTACTTCAGCAAGGCGAACTTGGCCGCGTAGTCCAGGCCGGGTACTGTGCAGCTGCCGTTGACGGAGCACGTGCGCAGGGCCTCATCGCTGAACACCTCCGGCAGCAGCAGACTCGCCAGCGTGTTGCTATTCTTGGCCAGGGATGTACAGTGCCACAGCCGGTCCCGATCCACGTACACACCCTTGTGGGGCATCAGCTCGGTGAGGTTCGGAGCCGGTGCCCGGTGCCGGCGGGTCCATTTCGTGTCTACGTGGCAGCGATGCGGCGGCAGACTGGAACGGACCGCGCTGGACCGCCTTTGAGGCACTTTTTTCGCTTTGAGCTGGCAGAACTGCGCAGCGTCGGTATGCATCGCGCTTGCCGTGGCCTGGGTGGGATGGCGATAATCGATCGGCATTAAATCCTCTAGCATTATGAGTTTCCACATCATTTGCATTTGGATGCTTTCTACCCCTGCCGAATCTCTAATGTGTTTCTCCAGTAAAGCGCTCATTTGCTGTAATTTGCCCTCGAGTAGGTCGCATCTCGTGCACGTGCGTTTATGAGCGGGTTCGGTGACGTCATTATTCTTGTACCTTGAACCGGCGTCTTCCATTACTCCGCTCTTCGTTTGTTCTTTGCGTTCTCTGTTACCTTTATTTAGAGAGAGATGGAGCTGTTCACTGCCGGCTGCTGTATAGTAGTTCTTTGTGGCGGATACATCCGAATATGGAGTTTGGTCGAACTCGATCTCAGACGAGAGTGATCTGTTCACTGCAACAGGAGAACCCTGTGAACACTGTGGTCATTCACAAACTGTGATAAATTGTGTATTCTAAATTTAACAAAGATAGAGAAACATTTACCCTTCTCTATTTCCCTTTCAATTTGTTCTTGTATCTTTCTACCCTCCAGGGTCTTTATTTTTGCTTGGGCGTCCGCATAATAATCTGTGAAGTCAAAAGGAGGGTTTTTTCAAGCAAATCCAAAAAACCAAATTTCATATATTTAAGATTATTGTTTAATTACTACTTGACAGACATTCTAACTTAGACATACTTAGCAAACGTTATGGTAAGTATATTTAATACCTTAAGAGCTGTCCGTCATGGCAGAAAACTTATTATCTTTTTCCGCCGATCAGCAGCCCCGGCTGTTGCACGAATGGCACGAATGGGCAGGCTCGTCCGGGTAAGTACCACGACCTCACAGAAGACCAGCGTAAGTGGAAGTATAATACTTTTTTCGTCTGGTGAGTGAGGTAGCCGGAGCCCAATTTTTAAAAGGTTGTCAGCGCATCTGTAACCCTCGGGTGTAGCAGATGTCCATGGGCGGCGGTTTTCACTTAACATCAGGTGAATCGTCTGTTCGCTTGGCAACTAAAAAAACACTGGGTAAGTGGAATACGTGTACTCTATAAGTGTGACAAATTTGCAGGTCATTTGATGTCCCACTTAACCAGCTGTATACTATCGTTCTTTACTACTACTTTTTGGCAAAAAATAATAATTTACTTTAATAATTCCGTACATGTTTTAATTTTAATCGAAATTATTAAATACAATAACATGTTGAATTTTCGAATCTTAAACATAGTTATGTTTTATAGTACACATGCATTTCCTTTTTATTAATTTCCGATAAATATTCTTTAATATCATCATGTTTTAAGGTACTTTTGTTTTTGAATTTTTTTTCAATTTTTATAACTTTCAAGTACATTATTTACCTCATCCATAATTGTATTATGCATACAAATCACTGTTTCCGTTAATTACAGAACTTAGTTCCAGCTAAAAAAGGTATTAAGGTCAAAAGGTCACGAATATCAGTTTTTCGCAAACATCTCGCAACGGATGTCAATAGAAGTCATTATAATAATTGTTTCTTGTGAAGCTATCTACAAAAAATTCCTCTTGCATTTTCCTGTAAACTTAACTGTTTTCGGAGTCTTTTCATCACTCTTTTCATCACCAAGGCGTGTTTTTCTCTTAAATGGTTTCATCATCATCATCATCATATCAGCCGTAGGACGTCCACTGCTGAACATAGGCCTCCCCCATCGACTTCCACTTCGACCGGTCGTTAGCGGCCTAGCCTAAATGGTTTCACCGTAGGAATAATCCATAATATGATATCATAAGAGGTATATTTTTTTTTAATTTAAGATTGAATACTTTTTCAAATTTAGCAAATCACGCGATAAACATACAACTGTCTCTCTAAGTAACTGTGTTCACGAATAAACAGCAGGACCAATTTTGATGAGTTTTTGCATAAAGAGCAGCACTCGATACTACTGATATAGATGATACCAAGTACTAAACTAGCAGCTAGTATGAAATATGTATTATTCTCAATATTTACCAGTGACGTATATAACACGAGCGTCGAAGACCGTCCAGCTTCCGGAATATTTGTCTTCGCTTTCGTTAAGTTCCTTCGTAAGATTGAAGTCTTCTACGGGATACTTGATCCGCACCATCTGGGGCTGGACTTTGAGTATCCAGGAGCTCGGGACGCAAACGTAACTATCGCAACCTGCGCGGCGGTTTACGCACAACTCGACCACGTAAAATCGGTACTCCCACGTCGAATCCATCTGGAAAAGCGAAACATCCCAGGTAGAGATCACCACAGCCGACATGACAAGGAAATCGACGAGTGACAGAGCACAGAGCACATATATTTAAGCACACTAACACATTTTCATTTAAAATTAAAACACATTAATTTAAACTTTTCACTTAACTAAACGTTTTCACGACTAATGGCAACAACGAGTATTTCTTGTTTGTTTTTTTTTTTTTGCATACGGCGTATTCGGCTGAACGTAGCGTAGGAATGAGCGCTCTGGATTTGATATACTAGACTTTTATACAAATTAGCTACGTCGTGTTCGTGATTTCTTACAACTACGTCACACTTATCAGCCCCGTGAAGAGTATATTGTATTCATTATTTTTACATAGCACAGGAATACTTGTGTATGAAGTATCAGCGATAGTCTTATGATAACACAGATAATAGATGACACGTTATAGTTTACTTACATTATTAAAATTAAGGTATACGGGGACGTAAATAAAAAGAAAAGTTCTCAACTGGGAATGCAGACGGAAGAAAAACTTAAAACTGTGAAATATTTGTTTTCTTTTTTTTTCTTCGTTTCAAACTAATTTTGTTTATAGTGCTAAATCTTTGCACTTAAGATTGAACATTGAAATTTGTAGAAAAGGTACGAAAATGACAATCTTTTTGTACCTTTTCTACAAATTTCAAAGTATCGAAGGTTCATCCATTGTCACCCCGAGCAAATTTTGTACACATTTTTATGGTTTATTTGTTAATAAAAACGTAATAACGTAAGCCTAGGAACAAAGATCATTTAGTCTATCGCCGCTCGTTCTAATTCCTAGAAGCTCTAAGTCAAAACAGAAATACACGGCCACTGATGACTGAAGCATTTCTTACGTCAAACGTTATTATTATCTGTTTTATAACAAATGGACGCCGTATAGTAAAAAGTCCCGTTCAAAACATAAATACATCTTGTTATTGCTACAAATCTTTTACCGGAAATTATTTTACTTAACTAACTTTACCTTTCGTTCGTTAATTATGCGTAAGGTAATAAATCTATTGAATTACATTCATTACTATATGACCCGTTTATTAAAACATTCGCACAAAATAAGACCGCCAAAGTTATTTTTGTATTTGTTTTCACTTGATTAAAGAACTTTTAAGAACTAAAAGTTCATAATTGTGTGATGGCAGTCAGTCATCAAACGTTTTATCGTTCTAATGTAACTGAGTCATTACTTCCGTTTGTATGGAAGATTTACGTTTGCGATTAGCCAACGTGATTGTACCGTATATCGCACAGCTCCAGGCCATCTGCTTCCACCATGTTATCAAGTTTGCCTGACCTCTCTTAAATACTTGTTTTTTTTTTTTTTAAATTGATAACGTTTGGTTTTCCCAGCTATCAAACATGTGACTCGATTTTAATAACGACCCCGTAATACGTTCGTGATAGCTCAGTGTCCGGGCGCTCGCCTTTAATTCAATATATTCGAGCAACCTGAGTTCGATCCCCGGTGCCGGCACCAATGAAGTTTTTAACTTTAAGTGCTGACTTATCACTTGCTGCGCGGTGAAGGAAAACATCGTGAGGAAACCTGCATATTTTCGAAATAATAACAAAAAAAAATATTTTTCGAAGATATGTGAAGTCCGCCAATCCGCAGTGGGGCCGCGTGGTGGACTATGTGTAGAGGAGGCCTTTGCCCAGCAGTGGGACATGTATAGGCTGTTACTTTAATACGTTCACAGTAGGCTGACATATAACGCTAAGTGCAAGCCCTTTAGGTAGTATCTTCAATAAATTCTTATATTTAAGGAAACAATGAACGTAATTAAATAGCGTCTGGGCACGACACCAGAAGACGCGGGTTCGAATCCCGCAGCGCCTAAGTTTTTGTTCATTTAACAAAAAAAAAACTAAATGATTTCTAAATACAAGTAATTTCTTTCAAAACTCCTTGAAATCTCTGAAATCTTTATAAAATTTGTTTGTAAGTGAGGTATCGCGGTGTGTATTAATTTAATTTCTAAAACTGGATCGCAATATAAAAAAAACGAACATATCTATTTCTTAAGATGCCTCTCCAAATAGTGACCGATAGCTTTATAGTCTTTTGATGACTCTGTGGTGCAGTTGCCAGAGTATTGGCTTCGGCTTCGGGATGGTGGGTTCGATTCCATTCTCGGATGTTACACAATCCGAATCCTTTCTTCTTGCCAGTCATTTTTCCCATCACGGTGAGTTGTAAAATGTTGTATCGTTGACTACGAAGAATTGCAATCTTAAGTGCAGAGAATAAAATTCACTAGAAAAATTAATCTAATTTAAACAATTCGTTATGTTGATCTTAAGGTTTACGTTGTGAATTGCACCAATTCTGCACATTTATCAACAACTCGATAAATGTGCGAGCGAAAGAGCCTGCTACGTTTATGCATATTTTTGTAGCGTTACGGATTGCGTCCGATGCAACGCTCTCGTAGATGCTCGTAGCACGGCTAGTAGTATCACAATAAATAAGAAGCATATAGTAAAAGGCAACTGATGTTAGCTAACATAAAGCAAGAAAGAATATTTTTAACCGACTTCAAAAAGGAGGAGGTTTCTCAATTCGACCATATATTTTTTTTTTATGTGTGTGCACGGATAACTTCGAGGTTTCTGAACCGATTTTGATGTTTCTTTTTTTGTTGGAAAAGAGGTATCCCAAGGGTGGTACCATGATAAGGAAACCCGGATCTGATGATCGGGTCCCATAAAAATCGAGGGAAATCCTCAAATGTTGTAGGTAGTAACAATGTTTTACATGTATTTTCTAAAGCTATTAAGACATTTGCGTATAGTCATCATCATCTCATGACGCTGAGCTGATGAAGAAAGATACTTAGGCTATTTAACGGTTAGTAGTAAGGTGATTTCTTGTTCTAGAATATTTTATAGAAACTTAGAAACTTATTTTATAGATAACTATTTTCTCTGTCTCTTATCGATAATATTTATATCTATATGTTTATTTTTATAGCGATTAGACGAGAAAGCAAATAAATATCCCCACCATAATAAAATATCTTTATTCTCATAGACGCAGTTGTGTTTCTTAATTACTGAGTTCCTATGGCCACATTCCAGCTCTGTCATTAGACCCTGGTTACCAGGGCACTAGCACCAAAGAACTCGAAGATGAATCAAACGAGCCGAAACCCGATGGAGTTGAGACATTTCATTAGAGAGTGGTCATAGGAACCTCACAGAATTGCCTCATAGACCTCACAGAATATCGGCGTAAAGTACTTCTGCGTTTTGTCTGGTGAGTGAGGTAGCCGGAGCCCACTTTAATATAAGGAGAAAACGCATCTGCAACACTATGCATATGTCCATGGACGGCTGAAGATGGAGCTCCATTATCAGACTCTGGTTACCAATGAAAGACAAACTACTTGTCAATACGATTCAAATGTACCCAGACGCGACGAGGCTCTGTCGTTTCATTGCGAAGTTCCTTTGGCTACCTTCCGAGTCCATCATCAGATCAGAACCATGACATAAAAATATTGCATTGTCTCGCGATTTACAGATGTAAATTTTAGCTCAACCGGTAACCGGGAAGTAGATCTAATTTAATTTGCAAGATTTGATGACAAACATTAAAATATTGTAAAAATGTTCATAAATTGAAAACTACTTGGCCTAACTCTGGTAAATTTTTATGGGACCAAATGGTAACTATTCTACATCAAACTAAAGAAGAATCATAAATGTCATAAAAAGAATAATCATAAAAGTCATAGAACGGCACATATACATAAAAAAGTGTATATAAATTATAGCCTGTGTTATTCTGATGTATAAGCTATATTATTGTAGTTTCATTAAAATCCATTCAGTAGTATTTGCGTGAGTAACAAACATCCATCCATACATACAAACTTTCGCATTTATAATATTAGTAAGGATGCCAACAGCAACACATATTATATACAGTGTGTCGTTACCATCGCGACAATAAATGAACACACGTCTATCGCTACTTGCCAATAATCATAAAAAAATATTAACGTTAAACAAAATCCATAATTAAAAAAAATATATTTTTCAAACAAACAAATTAAGTAAAATAGAAATAAAATTATGTAACATCCTATACAACTCGCGCACAGCGTCGTATTACAAGCCTCTCCTTCTAACAGTATGTTTTGTCTCTTTTAAATTCATTCAACCCATTCATATGCTTTGTGACCTTTACAAATGAACTTTACGTTACGCTTTTATAGGTAAGGGTGATCTAAAATTCTTTGTTTTGGAAAATTTAATAACTCTGTAAATAGTGATGTTTAAAGAATTTAAATGTTTAATACAACTTTAAAAAGTTATCCCCTATATGTGTGTTCATTTATTGTCGCGATGGTAACGACACGCTGTATATGAATAAATTAAGTCTTATATTTCGTTGCATATTACAAAAATTTTATTTATGGACTATGTAAGTGTTATGAACTTTGTTACTAATTAAGTTCTTAATCAAGATTTTAAATTTGTTTAGATTAGCCTTATATGCTAGGCGATGTATTTATCTGCAAGAACCCCCTCTGCAGGTAAATGCCTCCTCCAAAGATTGCCAGTCCTCTCTACATTCAGCTACTCGAATACAGTTCGGGCCGACGCAAAATCAAAAGTCTTTATTCAACATAGGAGCATTACACTCGCTTATTACACTGTACTGAGAATAACCGGCGAAAGAAAGTCAGCGGGTTTTTTTTAAATTTAAATAAGCAGTTTGACAAGAATTCATTAAAAATACAACATGAATTCATTAAAAATAAATACTGTTTTTTTGAGTTCGTCTTCCCAACGAGCTACAGGCCGACCTTCTTTTGCACTGTGGATCTGTCCGTGTGGTCACCCTATTGGTCTCACAGGCGTGCCATGTGTCAACCCCACATCCATTTTAATGATTGAGCATGTACCAATTCATCCTTTGCCTTGGTGATCTGTCTTATTTTATGATTGTGTGACCTTGATGACTCCGTAGCGTAGCCGCCAAGGTATCGGGTTCGGCGTCGGGGATCGTGGGTTCGATTCCAACACGGGACAACTATTTGTGTGACCCACAGAAAGTTGGTTCGCATCTAGGTGTTGGTCCGTGTGAAATTTATGTTTGTAAAAACGTCCTTACAACACAGGATTATGTTATTAGCGATGGGACGATTTGCTTTTTTCAAAGTCGATCAAATCGCCTTGAAATGATCATGAAATCGACTTGCAAATCGATTTGTGTCGGCTTAGCGTCTAATAAGTATAATTTTTAACAAAAAAAAAACGACTTCTAACCGGAAACGAAAAAAAATATTGTTAATACCTATAACATTTTAATATTACCCTCGATTTTTGTGGGATGCCATCATTAGATCCGGGTTTCCTTATTATCGTACCACCCTTGGGATATCTCCTTTCTACCAAAAAAATCAATCATCAAAATCGGTTCATAAACGACTAAGTTATCCACGAACACACAAAAAAAATATACGGTCGAATTTGAGAAACTCCTTCTTTTTTGAAGTCGGTTAATAATCATGGATCACGAAATTTGGATATGTTTCATTACAACTCAAGCTCCATTCGCGACTGCACTTTAATAACTGTTTAGGCTATAATAAATAAGGAAAAAATACGCACATTTTCTGGACAAAAAATGTTTTATTTACAATAATACTTTTATATCCTAAAAAATTCAATGACATTCAATAGAAACAACAACAAAGGAAAAAGAAAATTAAAATGCTATCTATTTATAAATATATAATATTTATAGATAACGAATTATAGTTATAATAAATATATGTATAGTATAATATTTATAAATAATCACTTTTTATATTATAAAAGCCTATTATATAAAAGCATATTATTCGCTATTATTTTAAAGCGACTTGCGTCAATTTCTTCCGTCTCTTACTACTTCCGTTCGTACCATCTGTATGCTCATGATCTACAGCTTTATGTCCAAACAGATATTAAAAATCTTAATAGCAGTTTAATGACTCATAACGACAATCTTGAATCTATTAAAGATCGGACACATAGGTTTGGGATTGCTGTTAACGCATCTACTTGTAAATGCAAACGTTATAATGGAGAATTTCCATTTAAACATTAATTTAGCTGTACAGTGGATTGATCTAAATTAATCTTCTTTTTTTTGTTATCTTTGCATTTGCGGCGCTCCTCGTGCAGTCTCTTCCTTATGCTGGTTATGAGCTCGGATTCTTTGCACGGCCAGTTGTGACTATCCGCGTGGCGTTTGACGTACTTCAGCAGGGCTTCCGTGGCCTTGGAGTCCAGGCCGGGTACATTGCGATTGCCCTTTACGGAGCACGTTCTCAGGGCCACATCCTTGAACACCTCCGGTAGCAGTAGACGCACTAGCGTCTTGCTACTGTTCGCCAGTTTTTCGCAATGCACCAGATTATTGCGATCCACGTATACGCCTGTGTTGGGCATCAACTCGATGAGGTTCGACGTCAGCGTACGGTGGAGGTGTGTCCACGTCGGGTCATTGGGGTCGTATTCCGGCGGAGTACCGGAGTCGGGGAGCGTGCTGGATCGCCTTTCGTGCGCTTTTTTCGCTTTGAACTCAGCGAACAGCTCGGAGTCGGGTTGCACGCACTTCTCGGCCTGGATGGGATAGCAATTGCTGATCAAATTTAAACCCTCTAGCATTCGCATCCGTTGGATGTAACCCCTTTTCAACTCTGCATTTATTGTCTTTAGCTTCTCTAGTAAAGCGCTCATTTGCTGTAATTTGCCCTCGAGTAGGTCGCATCTCGCGCATGTGCTCTTATGAGCGGGTTCGGTGATGTCGTTATTCTTGTTTCCTGAATCGGCCTCTTCCATTACTCTGCTCTTCGTTTGTTCTCTTGTGCATTCTCTGGCACCTTTATTTACAGAAAATGCGAGCTGTTCGCTGCCAGCAGCCGTATAGTTCTTGGTCCCAAGCGCCGGTGATTTCTCCCCTGCAACAAAAGAACCGTGTGTGATGACAAATTGTGATGTGAACACACATCACACGTTAAAAACGATAGAGAAACAGTTACCCATCTCAATTTTCGTGTCAAGTTGTTCTTGCAACCTTCTACCCTCTAGCATCATCATTTTAGCTTGCGCCTCAAGTAAACAATCTGTGAAGACAAAAGGAAGGTTTTATCAAGCAAATCAAAAAACATAAGTTCATATATTTACAATTATTGTTTTATCACTACCTGAACAGACTTTATAACTTAGACATACTTACCAAACTTACGTTATGGGTAAGTATATTTAATATATATTATTTTTGACTAGAAATTTAATTTTAATGATATTTAATTCGCACCTAAGAAATCACACAAGCTTCAATCGAATTTTAACGTAATGTAAAAGAAATGTGAAATACACTTTTTACGACATACAATTCGTCTAGATACAAGAAGATTTTGTGATAATCTATAGTTAAAAGAATCAACTGACTGTCTTAGTGTTTCCTATAAACAAGCGAAAAAGCGTCTATTAAGTTTAGATTAAAGGTTTAAAAGGCAACCTGAGATTAAGTCGCAATATGTTGAATTTATAAAAGAATATTCTGATTTAGGTCATCTATCTGAGCAAGTAATTTGGAGGTCTGATCACTCCTATTATTTACTTCACCATGCCGTTTTTAACGCTAACAATGAGTGTACAGAGATTCATATTGTCATTGATGGATCTTCTGGCTTCTCACGTAACGATATTCAAGCGTGGGTCCAAATCTACAAGATTCTCTATTTTTACTGATATTTTAACAATTGTTCAAAATGGAGTCCATTTCTTCATTGAGTGCAAAGTGACTGTGAAACCGGAGTATTGAAAAATACCAATTTTTGTCAAAAAGTTAAAGAATTATAACGTGTCGCCTTTTCTGTCGAGTCCTGCAATGTTCTCGGAAGTGACCAATGAAGCCACACTTCAAACATCATTTGTCTTTTGCAGGGCATTTTGTGTCTTCGGATAAATGGGAGGAGCTTCCACATCTACTACACTTGTGTGTTGTTTGATGATTGTTGTCGAAATGGTTTGTTGTATTTTTTCTTGTTGTCGATTTTATTTATTTCTGCCTTGTTAACATTGGTCGCATTATTTGTATTTACAATTTTAAATTGTTCTAATTGTCTGCCTACAACTTCTAATGCATTTGCCTTACTTATGATTTCGTCTAGAGTACATATATCTCCGCATTCTAAAATTTTTTTCTGAATTCGACCACTCGACTCTTTTACGTGATTGCCCCTCTTTATTATGGAATTAACATTTTTCAGCTTGGTTTCTTAACCTTAATAAAAATCGTTCAAATTGTTCCCCTTCCTCCTGCTTCGTGAGTTAGAAAAGGTACCATTTGTAAATCCGACTTTGTTTAGGAGCAAAGTAACAGTCCATTTTTTTTAAAGCTATTTTATAGACATCGACACCTACTCCTTCTTCAGCAAGAGCAGGCAGGTTATAATAGGTTTATTGAAGTGCTATTCCCCCAACATAAAGAAGAGTAGCTCGTTTCTTTAAAGGTGTGTCGATATTGGTAGCCAGTAAGTAAATTTCAAGTGCTCCCTTCCATTTCTCCCAAAGAGTACTGACAGATGTCGGATCGCCTGCACAATCAAAATGGTCTAAGTAGGGAAGTGTGATTGATGCATGACTTATTTTGGGGCAGCCTGAAATAAAATATTTTGACTCTTATTTTTGCGTGGCTTCTACTGATCAGTAACAGTATTTTAACGGCATTGCCCTATTATATTTTAATAAGTAATTATTGCGTGGCCTTAAAGTGACCTTTATTATAACTATGATTATCTCAATATAATTAGTGCACGCATGCGAATAGATCCTAACTTAAATATGGAAATGCAATTTTTATTCATAATAAGACAGTAAAAAGTAAACGTAATTTGTTAAAAAAGTTGTAAAAAGTAAACTTTGCAATACACATATTTGTATCGCGTCCCAAAGGAATAATTATTCAAACTGAGTATTTATTACAACATGTAAAACAACATTTAAAATTATGTTTTACGGTGGTAGAGCCACGCAGTAGCCTCGGTTGTTGCACGAATGGGCAGGCTCGTCCGGGTAAACTTACCCGTTATTTTTAAATGTTGTTTTACATGTTGTAATAAATACTCAGTTTGAATAATTATTCCTTTGGGACGCGATACAAATATGTGTATTGCAAAGTTTACTTTTTACAACTTTTTTTTAACAAATTACGTTTACTTTTTACTGTCTTATTATGAATAAAAATTGCATTTCCATATTTAATTAGTTTGTTACTTAATTAGTTACTTAGTGTTACTAAGTGTTACTTAATTAGTTTGTTTGAAAAATATTTTTTTTAAATTTTGGATTTTGTTTAACGTTAATATTTTTTTATGATTATTGGCAAGTAGCGTTAGACGTGTGTTCATTTATTGTCGCGATGGTAACGACACGCTGTATATATATATATATATATATATATATATGTGTGTGTATATTTATGTATATATTCATCCATATATATATGTAGTTTATGAATAATAATATTCATATACATATTCGTATATATCCACACATTATATTTAATTTGATTTTTATGTATATATTTTCCTAATTTACTTACTCTAGTTTTAGCACCTGCCATCTACTTCTCACCATGACAAGGGTTGACTGGTAGAGAATGCCACTAGGCATTAAGTCCGCCCATTGTAGCCTTTAGCCTAAGGTGTAACAATGAAGTATAAATAAATAAAAAATAAACGTGCTTTCTGCTGTTCCTCGCAAAATTTCGACAATAAATCAGTATTTTGAGTCCGTAGATGTTCAAGTACCTTTACCATATCACTGAACTTTTTTCCATAGTCAGCTATATTGTTATCCACGCTGTTTAATTTAGTACGGTAGTCGTCGTGCTCTTTAGAGATAAATTCACAGCTGGATTCGGGTTGAGAGACTCCACCTGAAACTTTTCTGAGCTGCGAGGTGAGTCCCTCAACCTTTGACAAACATATGTCCAGCTTGGAATTAAAATCACTCGTTAAAACATCGATTTTACGCTCAATTTGCCCAAGCAGATTTTTCTGATCCTGGCTCATGGCCCCTATAGCTGCAACAATATCATCCTAATTGGAGGCAGCTGCTGTGGTAAAAGTTGTCACTACTCGTTTTAACATCCCTGGTGATTTGATTGAAACACCCATCGGCGTATTACGATTTGTTAATGAACGCACCGGTGTCTCGTTATTAATACTTTTAGGCTTAGTTGAAAGACATCCAGGGCATATCCAACTGGGATCAATCCTTGTGCGTGGTAAGTGGCTTATGGAGGTATATCTGACGCATTCCAAGTGATAATCCACGTCACATTTCGGACACCTTATACGGTCTACTGATTCGACATCTTTATCACATGCAAAACATCGGTGAGCCATAGCGATGTAGGGAGTAAGATGATTTTTTAATTATTAAAAGTATACGAACTCACGAACTCGAAGAGAACAGTAGTTTGCATTTACTTGGGAACTCCGAATTAAGCGGGTAAGGTGATAATTAACTGCGTCTAATAACCACTGGCACGACTGTCCAATAGAAGCTAAGTTTGCGGTACAAAGGTCGTAAGCGCCGTGGATATCGCGTCGCTTACGCTTTTACGTCGCATGATCGACTAACTTCACTGATAAGCAGTGATCACTTAAAGTTTATCTGATTTATTATTTCTATTAACTTCTATACTATCAACTGTTAGATGTTGATATGAAATGAAAACAAAGAAGTATTATCACTGAGTTTAGTAACAAATGTCTCAATAATAACGCACTTATTCAATTTAATTCGCAGAGGTAAATTAATACTGTGCACTACCGCCCGTTGCAAGCGATAAGAAAATAGATATGGACATTGTTTGGCTGAGTTATAATCAATTATTAATTCATATTATATAGATCAATATAATGATTTGAAGCCCCTGCTCCATATAGCTTACTATTACAATTAATTATTTAACTATTATATTCAATATTTGTTATTTCTGATAGCTTTCCGACGTTAATTTCAGGAAAATGAAGTGCCCTGAACAAGAGAAATTTAAAATACTAGCTTTGCCTGAATTTAAAATAAATAAATTTTCTAAAATAAAAGTAGTTAGTAGCCTAAGTTACTGCTTATTACATCAGCTATCTGCCAGTGAAATTTTCGTCAAAATCGGTTTAGCCGTTTCAGAGATTACCCGGAACAAAACAACGGCAGACAGAGAAAGATTGTAAAAATGTTATTTTGTTAAGTATTTTTACCGTGTATACATCCATATGCATTTAGTAAAAAGCGGTTATTTTAATATTGTAAACAGGCATTCGAATTTTATTTATCTGTACGTATACAGCGTGTCGTTAGCATCGCGACAATAAATGAACACACATATAGGACAAGAGTTATTAAATTTTCCAAAACAATGAATGAATTTAAAAGAGACAAAACATACTAATAGAAGGAGAGGCTTGTAATGCGAGCTGTGGCGCGAGTTTTATAGGATGTTACAAATTTTGTTTCTTTTTTACTTAATTAGTTTGTTTGAAAAATATTTTTTTTTAATTATGGATTTTGTTTAACTTTAATATTTTTTTATGGTTATTGCCAAGTAGCGTTAGACGTGTGTTCATTTATTGTCGCGATGGTAATGACACGCTGTATATAGGTATTATCTCTAGTTTACCAGTGCAGTATATCACATTAGCGTCGAAGACTTGCCAGAGTTCCAAGGAGTTTTCTTCCCTTTCGTCAAGTTCCTTCTTAAGATAAAAGTTCTCCATGGGATACTTGATCTGCACACACTGGGGCTTGGATTCCAGTATGAATGAGCGCTGGATGCAAACGTAACCACTGATATTCCCGATAGGCCCTTCCCGCAACTTCACCACGTAAAATTTATACTTCCAACTCGAATCCATCTGGAAAAGCGAAACATCTCTGGTAGAGATCACCACAGTTGACATCACAAGGGAAACTTCGAGTAATAGAGCACATAATTATATTTAAATTTTTTTTAAAATATTAAAACATATTTGTTTTAACTTTTGACTTAACTGACCGTTTTCGCGACTAATGGATAATTAAATCATCGAAGAAATTAATTAATCAGTTTCAAATGTCATTTGAGTTGAATTACTTATAAAATATTGACAACATTAACGCCCGGTTTCTAAAACATTGATCATCGTAGAACGTAGTCAACTAATTAGCCGTCAAATGGATTTTCAAATGTTATTTGAGTTGCCAAAAGGATTGTTAAACTCTCTGAATTGATCAGAATGACCATTCTGATTTTTAAATGTTAGTGATGAAATAATAGCTCTATTAAAATCCATATCGGTTTATTGGATTACAAAAAAGTTTGAGAAAATTGGGTACCAAGCGAGAGGTTTATAAGGAACTAGTTAATAAGAAAATAGAGTTAGCGTATAATTATTATAAAAAAACTGAATTAATTTTGCAAAGTTTAGATTATAAATGTAGTGAGTATAAGTCTCCTGAATTTTCGGGTTATCTTTTAATTATAGAGAACGTAAGGGTTGTTTATTCAAAAATAAAAAGTTATACTATTAATTTGTGGATCAAAGGCAACGAAAGGCATAAAATTGGGTAGTTTCGATATTAAGACGGCAACTAATTTGATGATAGTGATGGATGGGAGTGAAGAAATTAAGAAGAAAAAATAGTTGATTGTATTTTAATGTATAAATACGTGTGTGAAAGATGTGATAACAAAAAAGTGTTAATAAATTTTGTTTTAAAAACAAGACTGTCCAAAATTTAAATTAAAATTAAAAAGGACGTAATTATCCTACTTGTGATAAACTAATTGCTGATATGAAACAAAAATTATTAACACTCAAATCACCCAACTCTCTATTAACACAACTTAACAGCATCTCTCAAAAAGAGTCAACAATCTCTGATTTTGACAATAAAATTGAACAACTGTTCGTGGAGCTTACCATCTAGCAGGCAAATTCAAATGAAAACGCTTTCGAGATTTTATGCCCCGTAAACGAAAAACTTGCAATTAAAAAGTTCGCAGACGGTCTAAGAAATAGGCGCATTAGCACCATAATCGCAGCACGTGACTACTCCGACCTGAAAGATGCAGTACGCGCAGCGGAGGAACTGGCGCAACCTTCCAAATCAAATATGGTTCTCAACTACAAAGGTAAGCCGACAGGTTCATCTTATTATAGACCAAATACGGTAGATCAAATTTTGGTCCAAGGCCACGCGGACATTACCATCGACCTCAAGGGTATAACAGGGGAAGTAACTCGTGCCATCCTAGATACAACGGCAGACGTCCCTCCGTTAACAAAAGTGGATATAATAGAGGTTTTGGCCCCAGGTCAAATCGGGGCTACAGTTGATACCCAAGGGGTAACCAGAACCAAAGTCATATATATATAATGCACAGCAACTGAGTGAAAGTACTCCTTCACGAACAGAAAAAGTTAACAGGCAGTTTTTTTGTGACTAAAAATTGTATTTTTACTTGTAATGATGACGTAAAATGTATATCAATATATATTCGTAATAGAAAATGTTCATGGTTATTAGAACAGGTATTGACTCAATATCTCCAGTAAATAGGAGAGTTTTAATACGAAATACACAAATACATAGCGATAAAATTGTAGTTAATGGAATGGGAGGAAAAAATTTTTCCGAAGGCTATGTTATTCTGACATTAAGAACGCAGGATAATATAACCTTCAAACATAAATTTTATGTTTGATCATTTACCTTGTAAAGCAGATGGTATTTTAGAATTAGACTTTTTAAACAATAACAATGAACAAAAAATTTGAAAATTCGCCTTCGAATTACATTGCCGCCGCGTTGTGAATCTATACATTACATACAAATAGATAAAAACATTTAAGAAGATTGCGTCATTTTACCAAAACAGCTACAAAAAGATATTTTCTTAGCTAGTCTGATTGTTTCGCCTAAGAATAACATAGTTCTGATACGAATATTAAATAATATAATAATTAATTCAAATATGCCTTTGAGTGATTTTGAAATGTGTAAAACTGATAACGGTTACACCAACGTAGAAAGAGCTTTACTTTAGTTTTACAGTCTCGTGAACGTGACACAATATAGGCTATTTATGCGAAGTACACACTCACCACTGCAAACGTTTATGAACAATCTATTCAATTAAAACCAAATGTATCTCATACATATGTCAAGGCATATAGATTACAAATTTTAAAGCCAGAAATTGCCAAACAAGTACGTCAAATGTTACAAGATGATATCATTGAAGAAACTAGTAGTGAATTCAACAGCCCAATTTTATTAGTTCCAAAACGGGTTGATCAAAGAGGAAAGAAAGGTTGGAGAATGGTTATCGACTACAAAAGTTTGAACAATAATATTCAAGACGATATATTTCCATTGCCCAATATATGCGAAATTTTAGATTCTTTATCGGGTTCCGTATACTTTTCACACTTAGATTTGAGTCAGTCATACTATCAAGTAGCGTTAACACCTGAGGGCCTATTTCAAAATGTCTGAATAAAGTGTAGGAAACTAACTGACAAATAAATTCACTGCCACATAAAACTTCCTGTTAAAAAAAGAAATAAATAAATAAATAACTAAATAAATATTTTAGGACATATTTTTACACAACATTTTCTAGTCCCAAACTAAGCAACGCTTGTACTATGGGTACTAGAAAACTGATAAACATACTTAAATATACTTTTCTTTTGTAAATAAATACATATTATATATATATATATATATAAACACCCAGACACTAGAAAAGACTATGTTCATCTCACAATATTTTTCCAGTAGTGGGGATCGAACCCACACCCTCTGGCGCAGGAGGCAGGTACACTACCCACTAATTCGGGTCTAACAATAGTTTGCGTTTCACAAAGGTCTTACCATTAAGTTTGTGTCAGTTTGTTACTTGTAAGATGGCAAAGTCGCATTATGGCGTTTCGATTTACGGGAATGTAGTTCTCACATTGCTCTCACATTTCCCGTATGCAATAATGTGCAACAACACACATGGTACAATTACAGACTGCACACTAGGCGAATGTATATTATCTTTTTAAGTGATAACCGGCGTCCATGGACATTTAAAACCCTACGGGCCTTGCCACCTATAAATAAAATGGGCCCCGGCATCCTCACTCACCAGACGAAACACAGAAGTGTAACACTTCTACTTTACGCCCGTCTTCTGTGATGTGTCCGAATGTGTCCGGACGGACCTTCTCATTAGTGCAACAGTGAACACTGTTGCGTGGTCCTACCACCCTTTAAATTAAAAAAAGTAAAGTAACAACCATAAATGTCCCACAGCTGGGCAAAGGCCTCCTCTGTAAAGAGGGTATCAGGGTGTAATCCACCACGTGACCCCACTGCGAATTGGCAGACTTCACATATTTTCGAAATATTTTTTTTATTTATTATTTGAAAAACATGCAGGTTTCCTCACAATGTTTTTCCTTCACCGCCGAACACGTGAGTTGAAGACCCAAAAACAAATACATTATGCGTAACCTTAATAACAAACGTTAATCAGAACACATACTTAGTTCCGGAAAAACTTCAATCTTTGAAATTACATGATACATTAATTACAAACTTAAAGTTAAAAATACATTACTACAAAGACATGATAGAAGACAAGTTTGGATTTCATTGACACAGTAGATCTACAAGACCTATATAAATGAAGATAGCAATATGCAATTTAAAGGATTTTGTTGGAGGAGATAACACCAGTGATACAGCAACAGTCTTTTACCACAGGAATTTCTGAAAAAGGTTTAACTAGAATTCTATAAAACTTTGCTGAAACCCAAATCTAAACCGTTGAATATTAAAAATTTGCCAAAATTAATAATAGAAAAACGTCAAATGCGTCAGTATGAATTCGTATATTCTGTCTCTTTTATCTTTTGACTTTTTTCAGCTATTATTCATTTCGCGAATGTGCGTGCCTTCTCTTATTTGGCGCACATGGGTAACCAGTATTATTCAGTTTGTGGGCATCTTCGCTATCTACTTAGTAAGTACAATCGCTTGCGTTCACTTAGCGTGTTGACCTAGCGGCGTTTTGAGATAGTCCATAAATACTTAATTTAAGGGCTCATGATAAAATAGTGTTCAGTACAAAGTAGTAATTTAGCAATTTTCACTTTTTGGTGATCAATGTTTTCTTTTAATAGCATATTATACATTACAAAATTAATAATTCCGATTCGATTTTTTGTTGCATTTAAAGTCGCATGTAGCACATTTTTTTGCACAAGGTCCAATCAATATCATCGACTTTTTATACTAAATGAAGTTTTTATACTATTCAGTTAGAGATTATAACTATATAAATCTATGAAAAATATTAGTATAAATTGACATCTCTTAGTTTTTAGGTATGAAGCTAAACATTTCTCTTTTGTGGTCAACGGACCACACCCACATCTGGAGAGCATCGCTCCTCTCCACGCCCGTCCTCCTGCCGGGCGCCCGCTCCCACGGGAGCTACTGCGGTCGGACCAGGCCATTGGGGGGCCAGACCCGACCGCTCTTCCGCCGCTGTGTCGAAGACGATGTCGTCCTCGCGCTACACACCACGTGCAACGCCGTACACCCGCAAGTTCCGCTACCGCGGTCAGGGAAAGCGATCCTCACCAGGCATTCGTTGGTCGAGATACACGCCCAAGCAATAGGGACAAAGCCCCGAGGCTTGTACATGCAGGGCCTTTGGCCAGCTGCAATATCGCTTAAAACATTTCTCCTGATATAATGGACTCGGAAGTTATTAATTGTCCAATACTTCTATCAATGTTACGGCAATGACAAGGTCCAACATCAAACAACAACAAATATATGTAAGCCTGAATGAAAAATTCTGCCTTTTGTC